CAAAAGGAGGACACTGATGCTGAAAAAGAAGACATTGCGGGACAGTCGCCATCACCACAAAAAAAGACAGCAACGCCTGATGCAGAAGACACACTTGAAAGTGAAACTGAAGATATCACTGGACAACTTTCACCACCACAAAAAGAAGACAGTGACACGGACAAAGAAGACATTGCGGGAAAGTCGCCATCACCACCAAAAAAGACAGCAGCGCCCGATACAGAAGACATATTTGAAATTGCTCCTTTACCTCAAGGAGAGACCACTGATTTTGATGAGGAAGGCACTTCTAGACTAGCTCCTCAACCACATGGTGAGACCCCTGATCATGATGCAGATGACATCACAGAATCTTTGTCTTCGCCACAAATGGAAAACCTTCAGTCTCAAGTTGAAAAAATATCTCAACCAGTTTATGTTCCAGATGGGGAGGAAATAGTTGATTCTGCTGAAGGAGAAATCACAGAACTCGTGTCCTCACCTCAAATGGAAACAATTGAGGATGAAATGGAAGACACAACTGGAGTGATGCAATCACCACAATATACATCTGACCTTGATACAGAAGACATTACTGAATCAGGTGACGTACCACAGATAGACACCACTGGTTCGGAAAAAAAAGACAAGACAAGACTAACACCATCACCCCAAAGAGAGAGCACTGACGCTGATACAGAGGACAATGCAGACAAAGTCCCATCACCACAAAGTGAGTTGTTAGATCGTGATGAAGGATTGTCAGAACCAGTTCCTTTACCAGTTGAGGAGACATCTGACTCAGCTAAAAAAGACGTCACTGGACTAATGTCTCCACTGCAGGTAGAAACCATTGAAAGTGAAACTGAAGATGAAACTGGAGAAATTCGATCACTAGAAAAAGAGGACACTGATGCTGACAAAGAAGACATACTGGGAAAATCACCATCACCACAAAAAAAGACAGCAGCGCCTGATGCTGAAGACATATTTGAAAGTGAAACGGAAGATATAACTGATCGAATTCAATCACCACAAAAGGAGGACACTGATGCTGAAAAAAAAGATATTGCGGGACAGTCGCCATCACCACAAAAAAAAACAGCAACGCCTGATGCAGAAGACACATTTGAAAGTGAAACTGAAGATATAACTGGGCAAATTCCACCACTACAAAAAGAAGACAGTGATACGGACAAAGAAGACATTGCGGGAAAGTCCCCATCACCACAAAAAATCACAGCTGAGCCTGATGAAAAAGACATATTTGAAAGTGAAACGGAAGCTACAACTGATCGAATTCAATCACCACAAAAGGAGGACACTGATGCTGAAAAAGAAGACATTGCGGGACAGTCGCCATCACCACAAAAAAAGACAGCAACGCCTGATGCAGAAGACACACTTGAAAGTGAAACTGAAGATATCACTGGACAACTTCCAACACCACAAAAAGAAGACAGTGACACAGACAAAGAAGACATTCCAGGAAAATCGCCATCACCACCAAAAAAGGCAGCAGCGCCTGATACGGAAGACATATTTGGAGTTGTTGCTTTACCTCAAGGAGAGACCACTGATTTTGATGAGGAAGGCACTTCTAGACTAGCTCCTCAACCACATGGTGAGACCCCTGATCATGATGCAAATGACATCACAGAATCTTTGTCTTCACCACAAATGGAAAACATTCAGTCTCAAGTTGAAAACATATCTCAACCAGTTTCTGTTCCAGATGGGGAGGAAATAGTTGATGC